GTGTATAAGAGACAGCCACACCTCTGTGGGTCCTGCTGCTTCCCCTCACCGCGCTGGGTCACACCGAGCGCGGGGCCTGGACCGGCGGCCTGCTGTCTCTAAGTGAGTAAAATTGGGGTGTTTGAACCCACTTTGTAAGTAAAAAGTATGTCCCAGGTCTGGTGTAGCAATTTTGGATGTTTCTAACGCACAGTACGCTTGAGGCTGCCCCTCGGTGAGTGGGTTCTGTTTTGGGCCCCTCACCCCAAAAGGCCATTGAATGACTCGAGCGTGGCCAGAGAAGGGCAACGGAGCTGGTGCGGGGTCTGGAGCACAGGTCTGCTGGGGAGCGGCTGAGGGAACTGGGAGTTTAAGTCTGGAGAAGAGGAGGCTGAGGGGAGACCTCCTGGCCCTCTACAGCTCCCCGAAAGGAGGGTGCAGAGAGGGGGGATGAGTCTCTTGAGCCAAGCAACCAGCTCCAGGACAAGAGGGAATGGCCTCAAGCTGCACCAGGGCAGGGTCAGGCTGGCTCTGAGGAAGGATTTCTTTGCAGAAGGGGCTGTTGGGCGCTGGAATGGGCTGCCCAGGGCAGGGGGGGAGTCCCCATCCCTGGAGGGGTTGAAGAGTCGGGCTGACCCAGCGCTGAGGGATCTGGTGGAGCTGGGAACGGTCAGTGTGGGGTTCATGGTTGGACTGGAGGAGCTTCAAGGTCTTTTCCAACCGAGATGATTCTGTAAGCAAGCGGACGCATCCCATCTCTGGGCAAACTGAATGCGGCAAAATAGAATTGGTGGAGCGAACTTCTGTAATAACTATTAGTCACTTGTTATTCATAAAACTTATTATGCGTCTTCCTCCATCTTTTCACCACAAAATAAAGCGTGCTAGTTGTAAAGGCTGCAGTTGACATCACTGGTTTGTATCAGACATTTAAACCAAAGAGCACAGCGGCAGGGGAGCGCTGTGCAGGTTTCCACTCTTCCAAGGAGGACTGGTCAGTTTTGTGAACGTGGTCAAAATGCCACATTCCAATTGCCTGATTGCAACAACCAGTAAACCCCCCCATTTCTCTGCAGACTGAGCATCCTAGGCAAGCTGAATTTTTTTAATCCTGAAAAAAATTAGCCAGTTATTTTGACTTGAGCATGTAGCCTGTAGATTTTCTGGCACAAGTTTGTTTCTTACCACCTACTCCTGTGGTGGTTTTCAAAAATTATTTTTCCCAACTTTTGAATTATCCAGAGTGAAGGCTTTTACTTTGTTTCAGACCCATTTTTAAGCCTGTTTGCATGTGTAAATAAAACACATGAAGTGGTATGGCTGAGTTGCTCTTCCATACTTTTTCCCTAGCTTCACAATCAAATAAAAGTATTTTTTCTCTGAGAAATACCTTTTTGTTTCCTAAAAAAAAATTGCAGAGGGAAACAGTTTAGCTGCTTGGGAATGTTTCTTCTGGCAGTGATAGGTGTTTGTGGTAGAATTGAAAGTTTCTAGATGTCATCCGTTCAGATAAAATGTTTTTAATTTTGTTTGTCTATGAATAACAAACATAAAAAGAAATCCAGTTTCTGTGCAATTTTAACTCTTAAGTAATGTAGGTTTGGCTATTCCCCAGCACTTCTGCCAAGCAGAGGAGAATACCTCAAAGAATAGTTCTGTGAGTTCTTCCAAACTCTTGTTTTTTGAATGATGAAATTCCATTTCATGTGATCCCTTTGTTTTGTTTTCTCTTTCTGCTTTAGCACCTAAGGCACCTGTGGCCAGGAACCCTGCACCGGCAGGCACCAGACCAGCATGGATGAGGAAGGATCTACCTCACACTCAAAAGCAATTTGTCTTTGAAAAGCCATCCGAGGTAAAAATTACATGGTAACTAGCAGAAGCTCATCTTTTATTATCAAATTATAAAAATTATCAGACTTTGAGATTGTAGTCTCATGTTTAAAAAGCAAATTAAGAACTCAGCTGAGCTGAACTCTGGTCTTTTACCAAGCAGAGTTTGCAACTGCCTTGCATATACAACAAGCAGAAAGTTACAGTCTCTCTGATTAGCTTTGAGTATTCATTACATATATGTTTATAACTACTTTTTTTTCAAAGAGCCAAAAGAGTATGTTCTAAACATTTAGAAAGATGCAGTGTCCTAAGCATGATTTGAGCTCTTGTTTTTTCCCTTAGTTTGCATATCTGTCTTACTTGTTATAGGTGGAAGAGCATGGGATTTGTTTTATAGACTTTGCTTTACCTCCCATCAGCAGATGAAGGACATTGTGCTCTGTGCAGTGGGAGGGCAGTTCCTTGCCTGGGAAAAAAATTCTTGAACTCTTCTTTCTAAGCCAAAAGTGTTCAAAAGACTGTATTCTTGGCTTGGAAGGATTAGAGATGGTCTGGGAAGATTGTCTTTTCTCTGTGGCAGAGCCCTGGTGTCTATATAGTACTATATTTTGACCCTCTTGCTTGTTCAACTCTACCTCCTTGCATCTCAGGCCTCTGCTCAACTTGGAGAAGAGAAGCATAAATCCCTGAGACAACCAGAATGATAATCCAGGCTGGATTAAACTACTGTGCTTGGGTTTTGTTTTAACAAAACCCAGCTATCTCAAGATGTGCAGACAACTTTAAAGTGTGAACTCCTGCTCTGTCTGTTCTGCTTTGTGTTTTTCTCATTGTCTGGGGCCTGGATTTGTTCATCCCTCCTATAGTTGTAGATTTTCACTTCCAAATGCAAGGATAAGAATTTTTGGTTGTGGTTGATAAATAGCAAGTATTGTAATAATCCAAATAATTTAGAAATTAATGTCCTTTAGGGGGCAGTTGATTGTTAAAAACCACCTTGCAGTGACAACTGCATTTGAGAGTTTCTGGGGCATGGAGAGAGTGGGTAAGTTGTTACTGCTTACCAGTTTTTCAGAGGTATATTTTTCCCACTGCCATATCAGTATGTGGCTGTATAGGGTCAACAGAGATGGCAATCAGTTCTGTTTGGCTAGAGTGTGCCAGGTACTTAAATGTGTTAATATTTGCCATGTTGTTACCTTTCAGGTGGAGCGCAGAGTTCCTGAGGCAGGTGTGATAGAGTGAGTACACTGCTGACTTAACTGTCCTCCCTGCGGTTTGTCTGTCTTGCTGGTCAGTGGGAATCTCTGAAACAGAGTTCCTTCTCCACATACAACTGCCAAGCCTTTGGAAGAAATATCAGTAGAAAATGTGGACTTTCAGCCCTTTTATCCTGAACTGAATTTATAATCAGGAGAGTCCAAGTCTGTGTTAACTAGTTTTTATAGCTTTGGTGTAGCTGTAAGAGCCAGGAAGAACGAACAATTGGACACTGTGGATCAGCAGTATTTCAGATGTGTCTCCTTTGGTTAGCAATGTACATATTCCTAGAACAGTCCCTGTGTGAACTATGCTGGAAATTACTTGCTGTTACCCAGGAATATGGCTGGTATGGCAACTCAGGAAGCACTTCCTTCAAAAACCAGCTGCTAGCAAGTGTCATAGTGAAGCTAGTTATTCGTAGATCGCTTCCCCTTTGCGTTAAAATGGAGATTGTCTCAGAATAACTTTGGCATGGAGTGTGGCAAGGTATGATGATGCAGGGTGAAGTTACAGATTTTGAAAATTAAATTTGGTTCAGTTCTCTTCGTAGAATTTTCTTATTCATTGTGCCTATAAATGCCAACATAGTGATCAGGGTGCAGCCTTGTGTGGTTGTCTTCTTTAGATTCCCCATGACATCCCTCTTTTACTTACCTCTAGAACCCTAAAACTGTGCATTGAGCCTTTGGTAAAATGAGAGTGAGAGGCAGGAAGTACACAAAAACTCATTTGCTTCTGCAGCCCCCCTTGCTGCTTTACTCTGACATCTCCAGAACGTTATTGCTTTCTTTTTTCTATTTTGTCTTTTAAAGAAAACTTTCCCTAGTCCAGGCTTAGAGCAATTCTAGTCCCTGCTGCTTAGCCTAAGATAATTTCTTGTTGTTTGTCCATCTGATAATTCTTTCCTTTCTACATCCTCAGCAAGCCTGGTGTGTATGAACTCAGCAAAGCACCGACTGGCGTTTCTAGGTAAGTGGATGAAAGTTGTTATTTGTTATTGCTGAATGACACGGTGATACTCAGCTCTCTGAAGTTTGGTCTCTGCAGAGTGCTTTGAGTCTAGCAGGTGCACGTTGTCCTTCCTGTGTATCTTCTGTTTCAAGTACTTCTGGAAATACTTTTGAGTATCAGGTAGCAGAGACTTACGCAGGCCTGAATTCTCTGAGCAGCACTGAAGAGAAGAAAAGTGAACCTCTTAACATCTGCATACTGCATCTAGTGTTCTTGTCTGGAACAAGGAGAAGGGGCTATGTCTGTTTGTTTCACAATCCAGTGTAAGTTGCTGCTAGAAATTGGGATCAGTATTCCTGTGTCAGCACGTGTGATGTCTGTGTTGTATAGTTTGGAGCTGCCAAAAACTTAGCTGTAAATTGGACTTGTTTTAAATTAATCTAATAAAAGCATTTAACTGTAGGCATATTTGGTAACTTTAGGGTTGTCCCTTTTGCTTACTTGCTGTGCCTTAATTACTTCAGCTTCAGGACACTTCAAAACAAAACCTACTTGTTCTGCGATTCCTATTAGCTAAAATGTACTTTATTTTACTTTGCTGTTTTAGCTGCAATATCAATACTAATCCTTTTCTTCTGAATTTGATAGATTTTATTAATAGTGGGAAAAATGCCAATGACATATTAATTCCTTGTACATTTCCAAGCTTTCATCTTACTTTCTTCTAAAGCTGCAAATAAATTTTTATACCAATTTGAAAAGTAAAAGCTTTCACCAGCTGGAAAGAGAAAGGATACACAGCCAGCTGGGTTATTCTGTCATTTTTTTGAGTCTGTTTTCACAATATGTTGCCAGAATAGATACATTTCTAAAAAGTTAATAATCAGATTTTGCCTCTTCTTTAGTACCTTTACTATATGTTCTTACTGTGATGTCTTTGAAGCACTGAATACTTGTGAGAGTAAACTCTTGTGAAGAGCATTCCTGCTCTGTAGCCCACTAGAGTGGCTGGAATTTCTGAAGGCTGCTGTTAGTACAGTCAAAATATAAATTGTACATATGGAAATGAAAAAATAGGAGAAGTTAAACACTCTAGGGTTCTTGTGCTTGGAAAAGAGAGGCTCGAATGGCAGTAGTGATAAAGGGCTATCAAATTCTGAATGACATGGTGGTGAATAAAGGGCAATTATTTACTTATGTGGATTGTAGTACCATAATCAGGGCTATCTATCAGATGTGAAGTTAATAACAAGCACAAGTATGCCATTTTTCACACAATATATGGCTGATTTTGGGACTCATAGGATATTGTTGATATCATATGTTTTTATAGGTTTTAAAAGACAATTGGACGTGTTTGGTGAGGGTAAGACTCATCAGGAGCTCCTGCTGCCTTCTGTTCCTTCCCTCCCACCTGCTTTTGGCTGTGGTCAGAAATAGGATACTGGGATTTGACTTTTGGTCTGATGCATTACAGCCATTCTTAGCTCCTTTGGGAATCCTGGAAATTAGAGTATTTCATTGAAGCATATGTAGAAGTGTATATTCCTTCCATCTTTTCTTTTTCTTACCTAGGATTCATTTGATTCCTGGCTTTATTGACTCAGAACAAGCAGACTGGATGTTTGAACAACTCCTCCAAGACATACCCTGGGGTCAACGAACTCACATCAGACAGGGTAAGGAGTGTGTAGACCAACTTTTCAGGTCATTCCCAGGTTATTTCCATACCAAAATCCATGTATTGTTAATCGTGGTTGTTCATTTTACATATTATCACTCCTTCACATTTCTTTTCAGGCTTTCCATGTATATATGAAGAGTACTGCTGCTTATTTTTCAGTCTCTATCACCATGTTCCTTTTGACAGTGAAATGAGATCTTTCCAAATTAAAACTGCCTGTCTTAAAAATCTTTGCACTTAACTGCTTCCCCTGTCATCTCCAGTGTTTTCCCACTCTTTTTTTTTAGATTAAGTCTGTGCTTCCATCCCTTCATACTGTCTCCCAGTGATGCTTCAAAAACTCTCTTCTTTGAGGTTTCTGTCACCAGGAATGTTTTTTGCCTCTCTCACTTAAAATCCCAGCAGAGCATGTTTCTTTTCCCTTGTCTTTGCTTGTTAGTTCCAATATGCAGTTAAGTGAACAGACTGCTATTCTGGGTTTGTTCGCTAAGGGGCACCTGTTCTAGCTAAATCTTTCTTCAGTCAGAAACGGATGTAAGATAATATATCGGAGTGGTTACTGGACAGGGCTGGAAAATGTCTTCAGCATCTCTGTTTATTGGCTTGCTATAAAGGTACCATATAATGGAGAATGTTATCTGTCAAGCATGAGAAATAGCTACCAAGATAGTCTTTTCAGAAGTTGAAAGTACTTTTAACTTGACGTTTGTATTGCAACACAGAGCATACACATACTTGACAAAATACTGCTTGTCCAGCCTTGCTACATTCTGCTTCTGTGTTGTCGCTTTGATGCTGCAGCCCTTTCCATTTCATCCTTTTCAGTGGATACATCTTGCAACTTACATCAGCATATTAGGCACTAGAACTAGGAGAATATAAAACAAGCCAGAATTATAAGTAAAATTTCAGTTTAATTTTGCTATCTTTAACTTGTCTGGTCCCTACCCTGTCTGGCATAGGGCTGAGAAAATTAATGTGGTTCCAAGATTTTGGCAAGGTAATTCCTCTTGTGGAGACAGGCCTGCTTTGGAATAATCTCATTCCTTCACTTGAGTTCATTAGATAAGGCTGAGGATTTTAAGGGGCTGCTATTTAACTTCAGGTGAGTGGACAGTCCCTTTTTGATCATGTTTCTTGACAGAATTGCATCACCTTTCCATTTTCAAGCCCTTTGATAAGGCAACTGAGAAAGTCTTCCTGTTTTTCTTTTTTTAGAAGTATCTTTTGAGGAACCAAGGCTTACCTCCTGGTATGGGGAACTTCCTTACACATACTCCAGGATAACAATGCAGCCAAACCCAAATGTATGTACGTGCTTACAGTTTTCTTTTGCTATTATCTACAGAGAAATCCTTTGCAGAGATTGAGAGACAAAGATTCCATCTATCCTCTATTTTTATCTAGAGTATCAATCAGCATTTCATTTGTGATCAGCAGTGGATTCTAGTGGAGTGTGGACAACTTCATAAAACAAGCATTATGAGTGGATTGACTGAGAGGAGCATGATTTATTTGTTAAACATTGGCAAAAGGAAATGATCACTTTGGAGTTTAAAGTTCTGCTTTTGGGTCACTGTAGCTTTGGACAAAACCCTGAATTATTCTGTGTGACTTATTCTATGCATCTTTATAGGGGAGTTTGTAGTGTACATAGTCATACTGAGTTTTTTGTTGTAAAGATACAGTAATATCAATTTCTGAAATAGTTACTTTCAGCAGCACTTAGATTCAGTACTGCTTAAATGAGAGTTTAGGCATATTGCTGATTCCTGCGTGGATGCTATAAAATTCTCACACACAACCTGCCTGCCCAGCAACTCCAGATTGTAGGATGGAATTGCCCACGCTATTTTGGAAGGGTTAAAAAAAACTTCTGAGTGACTCGTTGACATTTTGTTCATGTTCATTCTCTCTGTGTCTTCCAGCCTGTTGTCCCATCAGCCTGTCTCTTGGTATTGCTTTCTTTGACATTTCCATGGCAGTAGGCTGCAGTGTTCTGAACCATGAATTAATTGTGACTGTTGAAGGCTGGATAGCATGAGAGAGAAGTGTCCCAGGTGCCAGAACTGCTGCTGGAGGCGGGTACCTCCTAGCAAAGCTGTTTGGGGAAAGAGGAAAGGCAGTATTTAACATGATAAGTTGTGAAGATTTTGTAGTCTCAAAAATACCATAGTTCAAAATTTCCATAACCTGTGGAGTTTGTGGTGGAAAACCAGACTTTTTTCTTCACTCATTCGTGGAATGTTATTTTAAATGGACTTCTTTGAAAGCTGAATGGCTTTAAGGATTGGAAGTGCCCCTGCAAAATCATTCTGCTCCACATTAATGATGTAAATCCTGTTCAGAATTGCCTGTTGTGGAAGCCACTGCTGCTCAGAGGTTGGATAAAGCCTGTATACCCTGAATTCACAGTTTCAGTTCAGTTTGGGTAAAGTTCAGAGTTAGCATTCACTGGGCCACTGGCTTGCTCTTCTCATCCGAGATGTACAAGGCCTAAAGCAGCCATGCATGCTGATCCTATCTTTTAACCCTGAATAATTCTTCTTCTTACTGAGAGAAGGAAACTCCAGCAGAAGGTGCGATGCACTGGCCAACTTGCATATCTGGGAGCAAGCCTCACCGCGGGCTGGAAACTGCCTGTAGGCAGATACACGGGTAGCCTGCACACGGACACTCGGACATTGCACTCAGCTTTGTGGGTGGGAGTTCCTGCAGCCTAGAAGAAGCAGTGGGTGGTGTAAGGAGCACAGTCCTTACCTGTAGAGTAGGATTTATATCGCAAAAATATCCTGAGTAAAATATAACTTAGTGCACAGCTTGGCCAAAACCAATTACCTGCCTTGAATGCCTGATCTGTATGAGTAATTAGCTTTGTGCGCCTCCTTTTTGTTCGTTAAGACTGGGTGTGATTGCAGCACTGCTACGTATAATACAGTGCTCGTGCCTAAATAAATTCTAGTATTAGAAAAACGTTTCTTTGTAAGCAGTGATGTAGTTGGTGACACAGTAATGTTTCAACAGCTACTTCCACTTCTGCAGGTTTGTAGTGGGGTTGCCTCTCACTTGTAAAATTCTCCATATGGTAACATTTTTAGTAATAAATATTCTGTTGTAGGAGTCACAGGAATCCAGTCCTAGTTGGTCACTCAAAAGTGCTTTCAGTAACTCTTGTTGGACTGTTCTGTCATTGCATTATAAGTCCTGCACATACTGCACATTCAGACAGTTACAAGCTATAGCTTTTTTTTTTGGGTGGTATTCCTGATTTCCCTACATGTCCCACAGCTGCAAGCTATGTTTATGTATAATTAATTATTCATATGATGCTTAGTCATTGAAGGAATGACTTAGCTAGAAATAGCCCTAATAGAGAAAGATGGTATGTGAAGGCTCCTGTAGTCTAGCCAATAGGTTAAAAACCCTTTAAATATGGGTAAGCATAGAAAGAAGGTGGTGCAGACTCGATTATTAGAGGTGGATACTAGGAGATAATTGCTGCTGTCTGCTCCTTCTTCTGCCAATGATACACTGGGAGATTTGGAATCAGTTTTTTATCCTCTCTTGATCTGTGTTTCTGCTTATATAATGAACAAAAAATTCTGGCCTACATTGCTTTGGCTTTTTTGGTTTTAGATACTTACATAGTTCTTAAAAGCACTCTGACAGATAAAAGTCATGATGTAAGTTTACAGTATTAAATAACGATTCACTGGATCGAGTTGTAATGGAGTGTGCAGAGCTGCCATGGGTTGTGGGCTTGGCCAGATGTTAGCAAGGGCAAGGACGAAACTCAGAGCCTATGACACTGGTTTTGTGAACCACTGAGATGTTATGGTGTCGAAGTCAAAACCCCAGGAGGTGGTGAGTTGGGCTCAACAAGCTGTACTAACAGAGCAGGGAGAGAGAGCCACACTGTGACAGTGTTAGGCCCAGTGTTAGGCCTGCCCTTGTCTCCTGTGTCATCAGCTGCAGACAATTGAGATCGTATCATTTAGTCATGGATTGCAGCTTTCTGGGTGCACTATGCCCACCAGCAATGGCCAGGTAATTCAGATGTTACCAGACCCGTGCATTAAACTCCTCTAGCTTAGCCAGAGACAGGTATGTGTGGGAGAAGTCGCACACTTCTTGTCTTAGTTAAGAACTCTCAATGTTTATCTATGGTCAGTTCAAGCAGATTTTACTCTGTGAGTTTACTTTCAGTTAATTGGGAAGGCTGGCTACATTAGTATGAAAACCAGACTGGCTTCACACATTGAAGAGATGATTTAGTATTGACCAATAGGTAACATACACATATTTCTCAGAAAGCCCATTCCTCAGCCTTACTAAAAATATAATCAGAATGGTTCAGAGGCATTTGTTTGATTTCAAGTTTATTGTGATTAAAGTGCAGTGTATTTTGTTTCTTAGTAGTTTTCCCCTTGTGTCTTATGCTCTCTGCTGCTGGCCTGCTTTCCTTGTATTTACCCTCCTCCTGCTGTGCTGATGCAGTGGCATCCTCTGCTGACCATGCTAAAGGAACGCATTGAAGAGTTCACTGGCTACACCTTCAACTCTCTTCTCTGCAACCTCTATCGAAATGAGAAGGACAGTGTAGACTGGCACAGTGACGATGAACCATCACTGGGAAAAAATCCCATCATTGCCTCGCTCAGCTTTGGTGCTACCCGGACCTTTGAGATGAGGAAGAAACCCTCCCCGGTGAGTGTTCATATCACACTGAGAGAGTCCTGTAGTTACTACTGTGTTTAGTATTCTCCCTCTGTCTAGAAAACTACAAAAGTGTTTACTACTAAACTACTAAAAGTGTTTAGTAGTAAATGAAAGCCCAACTCTTACACTTCTGCCGAGTAAGCATAGGGATCAAGAAATCTGTTGCACGGAATGTGACATCTTGAGGATGAGAATGGGACCGCTCTAATGTGCGGCAGTGTGGTGCTGCAGTGAAATCACAATCTGGGCCCTCTTCTGCCCAAATAAGGGCCTTTCCCATTACTTAAAATGGAATCAGTGATGGTGGAAGGGGACTTTCACTGTGTAAATGAACCGAAGAGTTGATACCATTTTCTTAAACTTGGGCAAACATTGTATAATGCATAGTGTATGTAGGATGAAGAGTAGCTCTGACTGCTCTTGTAAGTAAAAATACTCCTAAGAATGTTTACATTTTGATTTGTGTGTGTTCGGATAGAGGGACAGTGAACAGAGGGAAGGAGCTCATTTCTTTTTTATAAAATACCAGGCTGTCACATCATACTTCACAGACTAAACAGAGATCTTTACTTTGATAAGGAGGCGTGTGTGGAACATCCTTTCAGGAATTAGTTGGTGATTCAGTAGTGAATTCTCTTTCTAGATAAAATGCTGTACTCAGGAATGCTGTGTTTACAAGCCAGTTTAAATTTTGCAATTCGTATTTATCCAAGTAAAAGAATTTCACGTTCTTGTGTTGAGAACACAGGCCTCATTTTAGGGTATCCTGCTTCAGATATCGTTTCTGCATGGGTAGTCTTTGGGAACTTTGGGAAGAAGTTTGCCATCTACTTATATTGCTATTTATTCTAAATAAGTAGTGCAGAAAACAAAGGTGATGATTATCAGTCTAGTAGAAAACTGTATGCTGACATACTGAAGTCTGCTCATCAGAAGTCACCTTGGGTCACCTAGTCGTGAACAGCAAAGGTCAGAATTTGAACCAGAAAACAAATAAATAATCTGTCTTTTTCACCAGTTCTCCAATTTGTAAATTCTTTGTTGTCTGAAGCAAATTAATCCTGGGCCTCAAGCATGAGATCACATGACCAGTGCATTATATGAGTGGGCATAGCATGCGTACGTATCTTTGATGCTGTGATGATAACAAAATGTTAGCTGGAAAGTTCATTCCTCTGCGAAACGGTAAAGGGTGCTTGGATTCCTTTCTAGAAGTGCGTGTGTTCCACTTCGATGGGTCAGAATCCAAGCCACTTAGATTTCAGTATAAACTTTGCAGTTTCCCTCTTAAAAATCAAACCCAGTTCTTAAGCAAGATGTCTTTTTGCTCTGTTTTCTATTTTCTGAAAAGACACCCACTATGAGCAAAGGGGGAAGTTCAGTCTGTGCCATTCGTAATTGGCCATCTTCTTTGATCTGTGCTGCACGATTTCTTCCCTGTTTTCTTCCTGAGATGGATGATTTTCTACAGATGTATTCCTCAAGCTGTCCCCAACTGTCCCCATTTTTTTTCTTCAGTGCCTCTGACCTGATATTTTTGACTCTTGCTGAGTTTTGCTACCTATGAAGTGTATTCCTTTAGCAAATGTGACATACCTGTTTCTAAAGTATGATCCCCATGTGCAGAGTGATCTTTGAATAAGTTGCTATTAACTGCATCGTATGCCTAAGGGAACTCGTACTTAATAATTATATGGCAGACATTACATATTCTTTGCGTATTCCCAAAGCCTGCAGTTTTTCTGAGAGCATCCTATGACACTAGATGCTTTGCCAAGTGGGAGTTACAAGAGTCTCTGATGGAAATTACAACCCTTCAGGCTGTACCACCAAAGAAGTAATTTTCATACTCTATTGTAATGTAGCATTCTCTCTTTCATTAAGAGCAAGTTAAAGTTGATTGTAGTTATCTGATCATTACTTTGTTCAAAATCAAGTTTCAGGAAGAGGAATGCAGTCTAGAGAAAAGGGATTAACAGTCATGACAGGCATTCGGGCTCTCCCTGGTTTGTAATCTGCCAGTATCAGTGCATCGGGTTTCCCAGTTAGTCTTCACTGAGGAGGTAGAAAAAATAAATCCTTTTCCTCCCAAAATTAAACCCCTTTGAGGGCCAACATTCTGGTATTTCAGATTCTAGAGTTTCAAAGGCTTTCATTTCCCTCTGTTCTTGTGAGTGCTTTTATGTATTTTGAGATGGAGGATGGAAAGATGTCATGAAAATACAAGATGAGAAATACTGTGGTAGAAGCTTGCTGTGGATAAATGATACTGGGAAAAAAAACCCAACCTAAAGCAGTTGCCTGTGTGTGATCATGTAGTGGGTACAGTATGTACTGCAAGTCAGGTAACATCTTGTAGTGCTGTTGAGAGAATACTAGATCAGAGACTTCAGGTTAGTATCTGTACAAATATTTTCCATATTGTATCATGAAATGTGGATAAAATGATTAGAGAATAAAATCCTATTTCTCTAACTGCAAAGATGACCAGTAATGTTGGTGGGTTGGCTTTTTTGTGCATGTTTGTGTGAATTTTGACATTTGTCTGGTAGGAATTTGGTGACATTTGTACAGGCTATTCTGTCACTCTGCATTTTAACTTGGGGGGAAAAAAAAAAGTTATTTAGGTGCCAGTGGTGTTTTTTTTTTTCCTGAAAATTGTTCAAGGGTGAGGGGAGGGAAAGGTTCAGTCCTCTGTTTTTCTTTTTTGGTGAGTATTGTAATGGATGGGTAAGTGTTCATCATAAAGTAGATGATGAAGGAGTGTAGAGACATGCATAGCCTGTTTGAATCTGAATCCACAAGTATCCCTTGTGGATAAGTAGAAATCATTCTTACTCAGATTTCAGCACAGTGCATGTAAAAAGTTACAAATACATTTCAGGAGTAAATTCCCCACTGGAATTAAGGAGACTTTTCATGGAAATTAACATGATGCCAGAAATTGTTTTCCTTTACCCGCTGGCATTTTTCTTTTTAAGCATTCTTTCTTCTAAATACTCCCTTTTCTGTTTATTTGGACCAGTTGTGTGGTTGTAGCTGGTATTTTGCCTTTGCTTTAAATGGTTTCTAGGGTTTTTTGGATGCCTACTTGGTAGTTCAAAGTCTGCAGTGGAGTGATCTGGTTTCTTTTATTTTCTGCTTCTAGTTCCAGTAAATTTCTTAAACTTTTTCTTGCCTCCTTGTTCCCCCACATCGTTGTAGCTCCTTCCTACACTGAAACCAAGAGGCGAACACTTTGTTTTAGAGCTGTGATTCATACACAATTCACACACAATTTATTGGTTTAGTCAACAAGTACTCTCACGCTTGCCTGCAGTGTAACTGTCACCTCTGCACCACCGTGACCACCTCCTGTTCTCCACACAGCCTCAAGGCCCCTGTCCCACTTGATTTTGACTTAATCGTCCTACTCTAAAGGAACTGATTTTGCTGTGATAGATGGGTCTTTCTGATACAGTCTCACTACTGTTTTTACTACTGCTTATTACTGCTCAACTCAGTGAGACGGTGCCAGGTTATCCAGTTAAGTCTTTCTGGAAGCTGAGTGTGAAATGCTAGTTAAAGGGTGAAGGGTGATTTAACATCCCCCTAAGCTCTCACGTCCCGCTGGGAGGTGCTCTGTAGCAGAGGCCTGGGTGCCATGGGGACTGGCTGGGTGTAGTTGGCCAAGGAACTGCTGTGTGAGCTGTGGAAGGAGTTGGAAAGAGGTGGAAAGCTGTCTGCCAGGTTGCTCTTCTTCCATCTGTAACCAAGGAAACCGAGGGGTGCTGGGGAAGGGAGGGAGCTTCATGCGCCTGTTAGATAATAGCAGGATGTTCGTGGTGTTCTCAGAATCTGCCTTTGGGTGGGTCTGTCCTTCAAATGAAACACTAAAACCTTTCATTCTGTCGTCCTTGAGTAGCTGTTCTAGCAGAAGTTAAAGATCGCCTAGTACTTTTTGTAAAAAGCAGAAAAAATAACCCTTCATGTCCTAACAGGCCTAACTGCATATGAATATGGGATTATATAGAACACAGTAGAAGCAGAGGCTTGGATCAGGATGAGGAGGATCGAACTTTCAGATTTGCATGGAGGAGACTTGCAGACAGCAGTGGCTGCAGAGGAGGAGGTGGTGTTGTCCACCAGTAATGGCAGGACTTGAGCAGCTATAGACGAGCAGAGAAGAAGATGCAAGTGCTTTAGAGCTGCCTCACTTGCAGTCTGCTAGGTCAGCTGCAGAAAGGCTGAGGGAGTTTAAAGATAGTCCTATGTAGGCAGTCAAGTGGATTATGTGGGGAAAGGGCAATATAACTGATACTCGGTCTTACTGAAGAGCTGCAGTGGGGATTTTGTCAGAGTAAGAATAAACAGGTAAAAATGCAGAAGTGTTGATAGATGAGACTGCTTTGTGGTGGAGGAGGGTGTTTGCACAGCTGGTGGTAGAAGAGTAAACTGGAAAAGAGGGATACAAGCAAGATGGAAGTCTGAAAAAATCCCAAATTAGAAGTTTTGTGGAGATAATTCCCTTTGTAATAGGTAAATAGGTAAAGCAGAAGTCTAGAAGCCAGCATTCTCCATCAAGGCTGCTGACTTTAGCCTCTGAAAATAATTTTGCATCATGTGCATGTATAACTGCGTTATTATTTATGCGTTCTTATACAGGATGTTTCTATTCACTTTTCCTTATAATAGAAGATGCTTCCACACTATCCATAACCCATTTCCTACTGCTATCTCAATAAACTCACCTGAGACTTAACGAACAAACTTAGGTGATATTTATATATATATACTTTTCTCTTTCTTAACTTTTTGATTTTGATACCGTTTTAAGAAAAAAACCTTGATACATACTAGATCTATTTCTTATAATTTTGATAAGGTTTTAAAGAAAAAACCTTGATGGGGTCCAGGAATACTTACAGATTTTATTTTTGCAGCTTCCCATCAATTCATGCTGAACTTTGCTAACTTATTAACTGTAGTTACTTGAATAAAGGATAAAAAAAAGTTTTAGCCAGTGTACTGGGACAGTGCAGGGCTTGTATTAAATGTGCAACTCAAGATTATTAAAATTCTAATATACTAAGAAGCAGAACTGTTGCTTTACTAGACCTGTTCTTGGAAGCAGCTGGTTTTGTCATACATATGTAAAGTTACAAAGTGGGCATATAAAAGACACCTGATGCGTTTCTTTCCTTGTTTGTTATCAGTATTTTTTAAAAGTCTTTTCCTCCTTAGATGTCAAGAATAAATTTCCTTCATAAAATTCTTGACCTCTGAAATCCTACTGAGTTTTCTGTATGTCTTAACATCAGCTCTAGAGATACAAGATTCTGAAACGAGATTTGGTGGACAGTGTTAGTAATGACATGTAAGACAGCAAAAACTGTCTAACTGTCTAACTTTGCTGGCTCTTCAAAACCAACTGACATAAAAATCTCTTTTTCTAAGTAAAACTAAGCTCAGAGATGTCCCATGTAAAACAAAAAATAACTGCTGCTTCTTCTACCTACTGGCTTTTCTAAGCCAAGAGGCTGTTTTCTCCTAAATCATTTACCTAAGAATAATTGCTTTTTAATCAAGATGAGCAAGAGATAAAAATAAGTCCATCCACAAAGTGAAATGATGTAATCCTGTGAAATAGAAAACAGCCATGCAATGGTATTTCTCTGCTTTTCATCAGCAGTCATGTTTATAATACTGGTATTTGAAATTTTTATCTTGTTTCTGCTGAAGTTTAAGAGAACATTTTTGGCATTACACCATACTTTTAATAGAGCAAGATAAATGGATAATAATTCTAGAAGCTTAAAAATATGGTTTGCATTGTCCTTACAGAGAATACATATTGCAGGTGCTTCTGAGTGCCTTGGGCTCTTAGGTATCTCCAAAAACTACACAAATCCAGAATTGCCAGCCAGTGCTGCCAGCTGCAGCAGCACTATTGCACAACCTTGTTCTGTCACACTGTGACTTCTGGTCCCAGGCAGGAACAGAAAGTTTCAGTGGTGCACACAAATAGTCACTTACAGCAAGTGATGCTTTCTATACCACGAATTGATTTGATCCCAACCAAGCTCTTTTGCGTTTTAGAGGATTTGCAGTTGTCTTTCTGTGCGTCTTTTTTATACACATACACACACTCCCAGGTGTTCTTTGGAAAATTGAACTTTAAGTCCAGGACATAATTTTCCTAGTAGTTGATACTTTACCTCATTATTTTTTGTTTTTCAGCAAGCCATGAACTTTAAAAAAAGACAAACCTGCATTGAGTTAGGCCACTTCACAATTAAGCTTCAAGGAAGTTAGTTAAGATTTTTGAAAATGTGAGGGGTTTTTATAAAAGCATTAAAATGTGTGGGATGAGAGCTACTGAGTCTTTATAAATGTCTCTCAGAAGACTAGTCTGCCTTTTTATGACCTGTTAATGTTTTCTTCTAACTGTCATGGGTGCAGAGCCCTGTTAGTTTTCCTTAATAACTCAACGGACAGCTGAAGCCTGAAGATCTTGTAACATTTGTGTTTCAGAAATGTGGGACTTTTGTCAGTGTGAGGTAACTATACCTGCACCTCAGGCTGGGTCAAATCTTAGTGTGATAATTCCATTTTCCCAGTCTCAGTTGTCCTGTATTGTTTCCAGCTTCTTTGCGATCTGCTTCTTACAAGTGACATAAATTGTGACTGCTCTTCTCCTTCTTTATTTTTTTTTCCTTCCCTCTCCAAGGTACAGTTTCATTTTACAAGACAAATGTGACAAATGTGGCTCTGGTAGTAGCAGGTTTTGTTGAGTCTGGAGTAACTCCTCCTTTCAGCTGGGTCTGAAATAACTGAGCATTGCCTCCTCCTAAACACTGGAAGAGAAGGTACTGTCTAACTAATTAAAAAAACAGAAAATCTGAAGCATTTGTTTAACAGCTGTCTAGGATGTATGGTCCTGTACAAGAACAGTGTGATGCTTTAGAAGCTCAGACCTGGCCTTAGTGGTTTTTTTTTTCATCTCTTTGTAGTGATTGTGATCTCTGACTTTTCTTTCAACAACAAACAACTGAGTTAGTGATCTCTTTGGATAAAAGCCAGCATCTCTGCTTCTAGAGTCAATGATACAATAAGAAATGTGCATTCAGGCTGTTTGCTATATGCAGTACACTCAGAACAAGGCTAGCCCTGTACTTGTACAATGTAGAAACTGAGAACCTGTCATAGTCTTTTTCCAGCGGAGGACATTTATTATTCACTTTACACTTTCAAGCTATCTATGGCTTTCTATAACTTAAAAATAAGACCTTAATTCCCCTCCCTTTCAACACCAATTAAAATACTTCTCCAACTCCCCCTCTCTCTAAAGTAATCCCTGTATTTTGTAGGTGATTTCCTATCTGAAACTTTCCAGAATTCCTCATTTCAGAGACTTACTCTCCACTTTTCCTAGACAGCTTACAAACTTGGCAATAGAGGGCTATAAACTGCAAAATATATATTGCCATTCTGTATTTAGGGGACATCCCGGTTTTCCTACTCACATTTCAACGTTAACAAAATAATCAAAGTGCCAACATGAAAGCAAGATGTTAAGTGGAAGTTGTTCAAGGTTTGCAGCATTTTTTCCTGCAGCTCTTTAAAGCTAAAATCAGACAATATCAAAGGACTACATAGAGCGTTAGAATACCTGCCCACATGACATTCTGGAAGATAGTTCATGTCACACATCATATGATTTCATGAGGATGTTAACTGTCATGACTGACAATGAGAACTGTGTTGGCGTAATAAACTTCCCTGAATAATTTGACTTAGTACTGTATTATTCTGATTCAAAATCGGAAGGAATAGTGTGAAACACTGGAAAGGTGCTAGTCCCACTGATGTGGCATATGTGAGACTAATACTGTGGTGTTACTATGTCTGTTTGCTGTATTCGTGCTTTAAAAAAGTTACATGTAATCTGAAGGCCTAACAAAAGTTCACAAATTATTTCTCTTCTAGTTTAGCAGTCTGTTTTGCTTAGTAATGATAAAGTTTAAGACAACTTGTTTTATAACGTACTATCGGAAAAGGCAAATTTTTCTTTTGATAGGAAAAGTCCTTCATCCAGCAGATAATACATACCAACATGTAACATGCAAAACAAGATAAAGTCAGAATAGAAGGAAGATGTGTATTTTTGATGAAGTAGTTAACTGTTGGAATCGGGGTGGCTATGGCAGAATGTCTCCAGGCAGAAGTGTTTATTTCAGGAGTGGATGATTCCAAAAGGTTTGCAGCCTCACTCCAGAATTTTGCACTAGATGTAGGAACTTGCTGAACTTTACCTGTGTCATACAGGCAGTGAGACATAATATCTTCTTTCATCCCTGAAATACTCCTGAACTCTTTAGGAAATATGGTAATGAGAGAAGTTTAGTTAGACTTCTTGATCTTGAAAGAGCTTAACTTTCCTCCTCTGCCCTCACACTTTTTATGAGGATGGGTTTTCCACCAGGTGCACATGCCTGTTTCTTCAGTATCTACTGTCTCTTTTTAGGAAGAGAATGGAGATTACACTTACGTGGAAAGACTAAAGATCCCCCTTGATCATGGGACTCTGCTGCTGATGGAAGGAGCTACCCAGGAGGATTGGCAGGTAAGAACTTCTTGACACTGTTTGTGTGCTTTCCTTGCAGTTGTTTTTCCAATTATCAGGCCTAGTATGAAGGAAACAGCCAGCATAAAGATGAACCAATAACCAAACTGTATTTGATACAAAAGGGTCAGTACACGGGTGAGCACTGGGGGTACAAACAAGTCAGGTTATACATAATCAACATCAATTCCACTGACCCCAACAACAACACCCCACAACCAACAATGAGTGGAATAAATGGTGAAATGCAGTCTCCCATAGAAGGGATGGGAGACAACAGGGTCAACAAGCTAAATACATAAGACCAAGAAGGCCATGTAATAAATCTCTACAGAGCCCACATTTACAAAGGCCAGACCTGACTGGAGCCCAGTCCCAGGGAGACAGGAGGTCCTTCCCAAACAGAGAACTCTGCACAGTGTATCCACCTCACAAACAGACACTGCCCCTCCTGCAAGGGGTCCCAGCTTTTATCCCTCAGTGGGACACCTGACCTTTGTTTACTTAGTGCAGACACCTGGGGCTCATTTACCCAATGGCTCTGTCTGCCAGGCTGGCCCCACCCTGGAGGGAAGCCTAAAGGTAAACTCACCCCCCCTTTGGGAAGGGCTGTGGGAATCACCCATGTGTCAGCCTTAATTTGGGGCTTGGGGTCGAAACCCCAGCATTTCAGCTGTACGGTTTTCTAAATATGCACAAGGCACTCCCATAAAGGTATGGCACATTCTGCTTGCAGTGATACAGTTGTTTCCCAGTGCATTAATACTGCTTTCTGCTGCAGAATTTCAAAGCACCCACAGAAACAATGGGTTTTCTTTCAAGTGCTAAGTGATGTAATAGGAATCAACTCAGATGTTCCAGCATTAAAGTTCAGCAATGAAAGCTGCAGCCTGCAGCTGGAAGAGCAAAATCAATTTATGAACTTGGAATATAAAAAAGTTGCAACTTAATTTAACAAGTCTACAGTAATCTACAAAAGATCTTTTGTTTTCAGTGATCCTGAACAGTCTGAACATGAATTTTTTGCCTTACCTAAATATTTAGAAATGGTAATAAAAAGCCATCACAGCAAATTAAGGTTTTTTTATGTTGTTTGGTTACTTGTATTTTAAATACACAAGCTCATGCTTTTTTTCTTTCTTTCTTTCTTTTTTTTTTTTTCCTCCTAATGCCACTTACAGCATCGAGTGCCTAAGGAATATCATTCTAGAGATGCACGGATAAACTTGACCTTTAGGATAATTTATCCAGAACCTGATGGAGTTTGGAAGTGAAGAGGCACTTTAGACATTGCTGGATATAAACCCACAGCAGATCCAGAGCCTGTGAATTGCTACAGATTTAAAGGAAGCCTTAAAGGAACAGAGTTCTGTGAAATACCTGATGGGGAAAAGAATTGATGTTATGAAGATTGACAATCAGAAACTGCCTGTGTTATGTGGACAGTGCTGTTTTGTTTTCAGAAATGATACACTATTAGATGATACTAAATAACAGGCTTTAAGTGTGAAAAAAATGTGATCATTCTTAAAAGAACACAAGGCACATGGAAGATCTGAGAGGCACCAATGGGAGCGGAAAGATTCAGTGAGCAGTTATTTTTCTTGTCTCTGCTTTTCCCCCCAAGTAGTGATCTGTGTTCTAAGTAATGACAAGACAGGATTCTTCTATGTAAAGCCAGCTGTGTGTGTGCTGTGTGTGCAGAAAGGAGAAAGCTGCACTTCATGATGATCACCGAGGATTACTCATTTCACCAAGGGGTAGTACATTGCTTTTCATTTGTAGGTTGCAAAGTCTTTTCCAATGAAGCAATCAGTTTCATTGTTTGTATAACTACTTGAATGATACTAATGTCTAGCAGAACAGAGGGTCAAGGCTCCCTTCTGCTACGCACTCTGTGGTCAGACTTTATCCTAACTGTTTATCTGTGTCTAGAAGACAGACAAGGCAAGCAATAGAGACGCCTTAGGCACAAGCCTTATCAGCCAGGTCAAAGCTGCTCATTGCTTGAGTATTATCAGTCCTCCATCCCTGCTGGCTTAAATGCATTACCTCTGTGTCATAGGCAGGAAAATAGACACAAAGAGATAAAAAACGTTACTTTTGTAATTTGCTAATAAATTCTTGGTTTCTTTTTTGGTTTTAACACAATGAAGTTGTAGCATCCGGTGATTTTGGGTGAGACAGGAGTGTCAGCATCTCTAAAAACTAGACTTGTACTGCCAGATTTGATACCCGGAAGATCTGGTCCAGAGATTTGGACCCCAATTACTGAAATCACAATGTAAGTCAGTTGCAAAGTTATGCTAAGTAGAGTATAGTAGCACCAGGTGCAGTACTGACTGTGATGCTACTGCTCCCTGGCCAGTGCATGTTGCATTAAAGAATATCACAGAATCACATTGGTTGGAAAAGACCTTGAAGCTACTCCAGTCCAACCATGAACCTCACGCTGACCCTTCCCAACTCCACCAGATCCCTCAGCGCTGGGTCAACCCGACTCTTCAACCCCTCCAGGGATGGGGATTCCCCCCCTGCCCTGAGCAGCCCATTCCAATGCCCAACAACCCCTTCTGCAAAGAAATCCTTCCTCAGAGCCAGTCTAACTGCCCTGGTGCAGCTTGAGGCCATTCCCTCTTGTCCTGGCGCTAGTTCCTTGGCTCAAGAGACTCATCCCCCCTCTCTGCACCCTCCTTTCAGGGAGCTGTAGAGGGCGATGAGGTCTCCCCTCAGCCTCCTCTTCTCCAGAGTAAACCCCCCCAATTCCCTTAGCTGCTCCCCATCAGACCTGTACTCCAGACCCTGCACCAGCTCTGTTGCCCTTCTCTGGACACGCTCGAGTCATTCAATGGCCTTTTTGGAGTGAGGGGCCCAAAACTGAACCCACTTACCAAGGGGCGGCCTCACCAGTGCCAAGTACAGGGGTCAGATCCCTTCCCTGTCCCTGCTGGCCACGCTATTGCTGATACGAGCCAGGATGCCATTGGCCTTCTTGGCCACCTGGTCACACTATTACTCGGAGGCTTTTCTCTCCAACCTCTGCTGTTACAAAGAAGCAGTCAGCAGCTCAGACCTGATTCTAGGTTGACTTGCTGGAATTCTGTCAAGTTTGCTAGCCCTGGTCGGTCTTGCCTGATGGGAGGAGCCACTGTGCTGGTGGGAACTGGGTGGATGCTCCATCAGGTGTGCTGTCAGTGTGGTCCAAGTTCTCACTGCAGCTAAACGGCATCCACTGTGCTGGATCAAAGCATGCATTTGGCATGTCTGCCTGAAGTAGGATTTAAGCATGTGTAAATAGAGTATACCTTGTAACATGTTAACGTTGTTAAGCAAGCTAGCATCCCTTTTCAGTGCAAGAATAAGTTGGTGTTTAGAAAGTGGCTCTCTTTTCTTAGCTAGCATTTGCTGTAGCTTAAAATTCTTATTTAATGAGATCTGACGAGTTATTAATAGCCAGTTGTGCCTATGTTTTAATGTTATTGATGACCTAAAGGACAGACTGTTGAGCCGTTTCAATCCCTGTGCTCTGAAATGGATCAGAATCATTTTCTTTCTATATCAGACAACTCTAGAAGCAGCTTCTCTACCTAAAGCACCATACAGCTTTTGAAATAGTTTATTCTTCTAAAATGAATGAATGTTGTTAGAAAACCTACTTTATTATCGAATGATGTCTTCACTTTCACTCCAGTTTATAGAAATACGTTTTGGGGATATTTGTAATGTTAATTCCTTGCATTTGAATCTGAGATATGGGCTCTGTAATGTATCTCCTGAGGATTAGTCTAGAAGGAGTCATGTTTACTTTCACGTTTACTTTGTTTGGATAGCTGGAGCTTTGTACACGCCCCTGTGTGTGTGCCCAGGTTTGGCCATCCTGACAGAGAGTGGTTTTCCTTACCCAAGGGGCAGTGCTAATTTCTCCAGGTATTCTAACAAGGCAACAGTTCATAACAGGCTACATTTATTTACGCTGTGTTAGGAGCAGTCATGCTACAAGAAGAGCAGGAGATGGGGACTAGACAGAAACTTCTAAACCCCCAAATCTCAGCCTACAGAAATTGCAACTCATTTGAATTCAGTGAAGCTGTGGCGCCTAACTGATGGTGGGGCCCTGGAGGGTGATACTGTTACGGAAGAACAGTTTTTCACTTAATTTCTCAGTTTTAGTTTAGAATGGTAGCAAATTGTGGATTTGTTTCTTTACTTCCTTTGATCTAGGAGAAGAACAAGATTTCCTTCCCAACAATCAAATTATTTATAAGGGAAATGCTGTATCCCACGGAGCTCTCTTGGGGTGATACCCTTTTGTGCTGGTGTCTACTATGTTCTGCTCTCTCCCATGTGTCAACTGTGCTGCTGCTTATATCCAAATCTGGTTGACAGTGGGGAGAAGGCACGTGGCATCGTTCCTCCCCCTGTCCCGAGTGCCCTGGCTGCAAGGGGAACAGTTGGCAATAGAGGTCAAGTTTCTTTGTCAGCTGGGAACTGGTGGGTCCTTCCTTCCTCCCCCCACCTCCTCCCAATAAAGTCACCTAGCCAGGTGGCAGCGGATTGCAACCTCCTGCCTGCCCGGACAGCAGGAAATGGCTTAGAGCAGAGGAGATTCCAGCCCACATCTCCTCAGGAGATCTTCCCTCAGGAACATTTTTCCTGTAGGTAGAAATTTGTTCCTGAATGCTGCAAGCACTCTTACAGTTCTCAAAATGTATGTGTGCAAAAGTGAGGTTTGAGAAGTCTTGAACCTGGTGGTGGTCTTATGGCACCTAAAGATTTTTTTCAGTGGAGACCTGGGCAACTGGAAAATTTCTAGTGCGACTCTGCAGCCATTTCTGCTGTTGGAGTCAGGTGCAGAGGGTAACATATTCAGCATGCTAAATATGTAGTTAGGTTCCATTCTTTAACTTAAAGATAGCTGGAGGAACCTTACCCCTAGTTATATGGTTTTTAAAAAAAATATTTCTAATAATGCTACCCAAAAGCTTTATTTTCCAGTTACAAGGCTTTGCCTTCGTAACACTGTTTTGACAGTACAATATTCCCATCCAGAAAGCTTCTTGAAAAAGGTTTAAACTCAGAATACATTACATTAATTTAAAGTAAAATACACTGTTTATCTGAAAGCAAAGGTATGGAGAGGATTGGGGGTGGGGCGTTGCCTGGGGTTTTGGTTCTGCTGTTCCCACCAGACACAGCACGGAGCAGTCTGTCTGTACAAGGTGGTGGAGCAGATGCTGAGAGCTGCATTGCCTACAGAGCACCTCTGAATTTTGGTTTCCATATTCCCTGTATTCTTCCTGTGTCTCCCAAACTGCCTCTGTTGCCTTTTCCTTTCCCCTCTCCCATTTCCCTTTGTTCACATTTATGTCTAGTTACCTCTCATATGCTCTGTGCTGCAGATGTGACGATTGTTTTTATGCAGAAGATATAAACTGTGGGTTTACTTTTTTCCCGTTTCTTCATTCTGAAATGTTATTTTTCAGCAGAGTATGTGTGTCTCTTCCTAGAACAGCTGAAAAATTGCATTCCTCAAAACCGTTCATTGTCTGTGGCTTTCAAACAGTTTGAATCAACTCGTTACCTCAGTTAAGATTCTCTTTTCCAAAATAACCATCAGCTTTTCCAAAATATAATGGCCCTCAGGCTTGATGCTAAGGAGCAGCTGAATGGAAGCTGTCTTTGGTGAGGATGGGCAGCGCCTGCCACCCTGAGGGAACGCGCAGGATGGAGCTGTCCTGAACAAAAGGGCACTGGTTCCATCAACAATATCTAACCATTCATTTATTTAACACCTATATAAACAATAACAGTATTAGTTAACTATACTGGTGGCAGGAATCGCTCTGTCTCCATGCTACTTGCAGTGATCATTTAATCACAGAACACTTGAATATTCAAGCACAAACTCCTGATGAGGTGGGAGTATATCTGATTGAACACTGCGCTGTTGGGTCACACCAGGTTGATCTGAGCACATGCTATTTAAAATCCATAGCAAAGTTCCTTCATTCCTCTGCTGTATTTATTTGTTTTTTTAAGGGAAAGAAAACCCTAGTCAGGATTTTCCATTTTTATTAGTTTTAAAGCCATAGATAATTTTGTTCCTCCTGTGTCAGATTAATTCTAGCTATGTATTTTCTACTTGTTGTGACTGATGGGCTTAGTAATTTATAGCTACAGTAGTAATGTAGAAGGAGATTGGGTGCCAGGAAGAGGTTAAGAAACCAGAATTTTCGTACCGTAATATTGGCAAAGCAGAGAAGACTGTTCTCCTGGGGTTTGGGAGAGAAGAGCTACGGTAGGGGCTGCAAATCCATAATGCCTCCCTTCCAAGCACTGCTCCTACTGACTTAGCTAAAAAAGCATTTAACACCCACTTTGCCTTTTCTGGTCATAAACCTTTTCAGCGTGGATATGAAATCTGCCTCACTATGTTTTGTTTTCAAAGTGCTTCTTTTCCATCCTTGAGGTTTCCATAGCAACTGGGGCTATTTGTTTAAACTGGAGCTTGTTGGCCTGTCCTCTCTGCGCCTAACTTCTGCTGAGATCTTGCGGGTATCATCTCTTCTTGGCGTGCCAGAGAGCGACTTGTGAGGGTTCTGTAGGGGCTCAGCAGCCGTTGGCTATAGGAACACTGGCCCTTCCCAGAGGGCCATTCCTTTGGCAAGACAACAGATGTGTGCTTTCTCCCCCCATTGCCCTATTTGCTTTACCTCATTCTTCTGTGTAATGCTCAGCATGGCTTTGTGGAGTCATTACAAGCTCCCTTGAAGAGCAGTATAGCTGGCAGGTCTTTGGTGGTTCACGCTGGGAAGGCATGTTGTGGGAGAGCTAGGAGGCCTTGTTTTAGGTAAAGAAAGTGGGGTCTGTGTTACAGAATCCCAGAATCATCTCAGTTGGAAAAGCCCTTGAAGCTCCTCCAGTCCAACCATGAACCCCACACTGACCATTCCCAACTCCACCAGATCCCTCAGCGCTGGGTCAACCCGACTCTTCAACCCCTCCAGGGATGGGGACTCCCCCCCTGCCCTGGGCAGCCCATTCCAGCGCCCAACAGCCCCTTCTGCAAAGAAATACTTCCTAAGAGCCAGCCTGACCCTGCCCTAGCACAGCTTGAGGCCATTTCCTCTTGTCCTGGTGCTGGTTCCTTGGTTCAAGAGACTCGTCCCCAGCTTTCTGCAATATTGAATGATTTTAAGCAGAATAAGGAGCAAGGAGGTCCATTGCATGCCCCAAATCATTCGATTTAGGTTTCACAACAGGAACAAAAACTTTGTTCTGTTCATGCAGGAGGTTTTGCTGGCTGAACAAGACTTAGAACAGAGTCTTCACATCACAGGGGATCGTCCAGACAGTGCTCACTGGATCCAGGATGATGCTCAACTGAAAGTTGTTCCTGCCTATAGCTGTGTGTGCAGCTGCTTTGCTGTTCACAGGAGGGTGTTACTCATACTGTCTCTCTCATCCCACGGTGGAGATG